TCTTCCCCTAGGGATATCGCGTATACTGCGCTTACCTTGTTCCATAGGGCCGCCGCGTTGTCGGGTTGAATGGATCCCATGGTCAAACGGACAGAACCTACTAGGGATTGCAACATGCGACGGAAGAGAAGTTTTGAACGTATCACCCAATATCGCTGATCGAGCGATGATAAACCTTCAGGTGGTTCCTGTTGGTTCTTATTAAGAATATCTGCACCACCGATCACTTCTGCATCCGACAAGAACGCCATCTTCCACGTCTGGTAGTTGGTGCCATCGAACGTGGTGACGGACTTTGTGTTCAACGAGGCCTGCGCTTCCTTCTGGTATTCGCGAGCCAGCATGTTCGGATCTTCTTCTGGTATAGGGTTCGGAGGAGGTGGAGGTGGTGGAGGAGGTGGAGGAGGTGGCCGCGCGCGTGCTGATATCAGTCGCTCGCAGAGTGCAATGAGATCTGCTGCTGCCATGGTCACCATGCCGTTAGGATTCGGCGTAGGTATCGGCATAGGACTGGGCGTGCCATCCTCGGATTCCTCGCGTTCTGGCATCTTGCCAGTATCGCGTGCGGAGCCAGAGGTTGTCATATCTTCCTCTGCCATCGCGTATTCAGTTTGATCACCCTCCGCTTCTGAGCCGGATTCTTGCTCAGTAATAGGGGGGAAGGATTGGGGGACCCTTGATTGCGAACGTAGTGTCTTCTTACGTCCTGATATTGGGGTCGCAGGTAATCGAGAACCACTCATAATCAATCTGACTTAGGGAGGTTCTGAATGAAAATAAATAAATAAGTTTTTGATCCCTTCAAGATAGTAATGAAATCTCTGCAGCAGTCTCGACAGCAATTCCGTCAATTACACCACTTTTATAGGCAAAGAGCTCTCTTTTCAGGGGAATAATGTTTAACTCATCCAATATAACATCAGTCGCAGCGTATTCTAATCAAAACGTCTGTTTTTCTTAAAAATCTGCAATCCGGGCTCATAACCTGTGGGATGGTTGATCTTCTCATTGTGCGATCGCTAGCTAACTATATATAGGGGTAATCACGTGCGGTGGAGGGCCGCCTGGGCAACTAGTGCCCAACATTAAGCGGCCCGAGCTTATCTCAGCATGCTCAGCCTCTTTTCTCGATATTTTCAGATTAGTGTGATCAACTAAACTTCTTTAGACTTCTGCCAAGTCCTGCTAACTTCTGGACAATCAATTACTCCACATGTGCTCACAACATAATATCTCATAGAGAGTCTGAGAAGAAACAGTTCCATCATCTGTGGAAAATCAAACCTGCTCATACAAAAGTATTCAGTTGACTTCAGAATCATATATCTACTTTAAATATCTATCTGATCATCATCAAATTGATATTTTTTGAATTCTTAATCATCTCACTATCATCTCTGCTATTTTGCAACTTGCTATCTCTTCTCATCATATCACAACCATTGATCAAAGACACTGTGTCTTTTAAATCTCAAGACACTCAATATCAGATGTGATTAAATCAATATTCTTCATCATTTGAAGATGAATTCTTTCAATAATCACTATACTCTCTCAATAATCTAGATGATGAATATGAGATATTAGATAGTGATATGCTAAATTTTGAATCTATTGATATTTCTTTGAAATTTGAGACCATTGATATCAATATTCTGTCAGCTTGTTCACAATCAAACATCTGTGGCTCACAATGCCTGCCTACTATGCCTCATAATCAGCAGAAAAAAACATTCAAAATTATCTTATATTATTAAAGCATTATAGTGAAATAAATGAGAAATGGAAGTCTTTATAGATGCTTGAATTCAAAGTTCTGATATCTTGACTCATAAATGATACTGTACTTCTGCAAAGCAGCGGAATGCATTATATTCAGCACTCTCAAAGTCAGAAGCATTTCATGGTCATCATTATTATATTACCTTGCTTAAACAGAAGTTGAAACACCTTATCAATGTAGCGTACGCCGCTACATAAGGGTCAAATTATGAGTATAAACACGTCTTATTCTCTAAAAGATAGGAGATAAACGTACGCCTCTATATATATACAGTGATTGTTTACAGAGATCAACTCTCATAGAAGGAGCGATCGCATACAAGGGGAAGAACAGAGGCTCTATAGAGAAGGTAGAAGTGGAAGCTCTCTATAGGGAAGGTAAAAGCGGAAGCTCCGGGAAGCAGCAAGGGATGGAGCGGAAGCCAGAGGTGGATAGGGGGCGTAAGTACGCCACAATCAATACTTTATACTTTACAATATTCAACCATGATGTTGATTTTGATATCATTGATTTCCAGGCTGCTTTTGAGATCATCCGGACTGATGCATCAATCTGATTTAAGCTGCTTACTTCTGTTTTAAAGAATAAATATGCAAATTGAAAGAGCTATGAATAGGCCTCAGATGAAACAACAGCTATCAAACAACTGTTTGTTATTATAAATATTATATATTACTCTTATTTCTTGAAGAATTCAAACTTCTTCAGCTCTATTCTCTTTGCATATTTTCATAGCTCAGAAGTAAAATGATGAGTGATAGAAATAATTTCCAGCTTTGAACTCTGTCTCAGCTATATAATGGGAAATAAATTGATGACAGAAATTGCTAAACAGAAGAAGGTATGAGTTGATGTTTTTAACTTATTAATATTTCTATCTAATTTTATATTTATACCCATACTGTGGCGTTCCGCCCCTAGTCTCTCTTCCGCCCTGCTCCTTCCGCCCCTGCATTATTATTCCTCCTATTCTTCCCGTATGCTGCGATCGCTCCTTCCTCTGGATTGGATCGCTGACGGGATGACTACGTATATATATAGGGGCGTTCGCCCACCCTTCTAGATTAGAGAAACTCAGACATGAATTATCCTACCAATTGAACGGCGTACGCCATACATACTCAGTGAGGTTGTTGCCACTATGATTTGTATTTTTGATGTTGGTTTCATGAACTCCTTAAAGCGATTATTCTTGTCCACTTCAGACACTTGAGAGTGAAAAAGCTGAATGATGTCATTGATGAAAGAGATGTCAATATCATCAATATTCTGTCTGTTATTCTGACAAAGCTGAAGAAGCATTGATCGGAAAAACTGCACTGTTTGATGAACTTTGACAATATTATCAATAAAAACAATAATTTTTAAAATAGATTGAGGTATGATCTTCCCATCTATATCAACGGCTTCATTCAATAAGAAATATAGCATATCATAGAATGCTAATTTACCACATTAAATTAAATGTACATCAATAAAAATATCAGAACAGTTAATGAAGGTTTGAATAATCTAAATTTGCTGTGAATTATCATCAACAAAATGAAATTCAGCATTTTGAAGAATAATATCTTCATCTTTACTGCTGAGGGTTGCAGAACAGTCAAACCAGACAATGTTCTTATGTAAAAGCAATTTCAAATGCTTCAATCTAACAAACTGATCATGAAATCCACTTCACTGTGTGATAAAATAAAACTCATCAATAACTACAAACTCAATCTTTTCTTGTAAAGTCAGATCTTGAAGAATACACTGAAACTGCTTGAAAAGTGCTTGCTCTGAACTGAGTAAGATATGTGTATATTCACATTGTTGAATACATTTGAGTAAGTGCTTTTCTCCCTGGAGATTATTGACACTGATCAGATAAAAATTGATAGAGAGAAACTGAGTTATATCATTTATCTGCTGATCATTAAATTTGTTTAGAGGAATCAGTTGAATAGTTATCTTCTTTGTCAGAATTATATAGAATTGAAGAATAAGACTCTTTTTATAATCAATTCTGACAATGAATAAAGTGTTGTCATATTCATATATCATACATCAGAGTATATGAATTTGTTTTATATATGACTGAAGAGTGCACTTAGAATCTGAATGTGAGTTTTGAAGAATTTGTCAAAGATAATGCTCAATAACATTCTGTTGCTTATCAATACTTTCAGATTCAGTGTAGCTCATAACAACTTGTGGCATGTCTTCAATTTTTATGAAAAGTATTTGCTTTAATAATAGCTTTTGAATCTGCTGTTGTTGCTGACTTTTGTGTTTTCTTTGATCTCTCCTAGTCATATTCAATAGAGTTGTCTGATTCAGCTGTCAAAAAGAGGTATTATGTGATTGATTCAGAAGTTGTTGAAAGATTTCAGAAGTTGTTGAAAGATCTCAGATGTTGTCAGAAGTTGATGTGCTGTGTGAGATGATCAAGAGTTATATGAAGTTGACAGAAGTTGCTAGAAGTTGTTGAATATCATCAAAAAATGTCAGAAATTATCAGAAAATACACTCAGTGCTTTGACTAAAGTTATTGATGATCAGATAATGTGTTTTGATGACAAGATCAAGACATTGAATGACTAAACATGATCATAGTTGAAAATTAGCAAATCATTTCCATGTTCAAAATCAGAGTAGCAGTTTTCAATGCGATACTTCATACTCACAATATATGTATTTTTGAATAAAAATTAGTTCAATTGATAGAAAATTGGAAAATTAATCCTCCAAGGTGGTAGAGAAATGATCTATAAGTGAGGTTGTACAGTGATTCTATCTCGAACATTATGGTTTAAGCAAATCGTTCCCGTGTTGCTAACAAACTGGAACCGTTTTTTCTCAGACGCTCCGCGAAGAGTTTGCTGAGGATGTCCCATTTAGGTTTAGTGTAAGTCCCTTGACAGTTGATTGGCTCAGATGTTAGCAGGACTTGGCAGTAGTTCGGATCGGGTTAGCTCGAAGTGGAGTGGCTGAGTTTTACTGAGATAAGCCTGAGCGCGAACCAGACACCACAGCCGAAACCCTAACAGAAGCTGTCGAGTTGCCCTTCCTTTCAACCACCACTGATTCTGTCCTGCAGATGCTGAGAGCGAACGGATCCTGGTCGAGTTGTGTCACAAGCGGTAGTAGAAATAGAGCCCTGTCCAGTGGCTTACCCCGAATCGTCAATCTCTGGGCACAAGGCTGATTAATTTTCCTGAAGCACGTTTGGACCATGGAATGCAGCGATCCAGAAAAGTTCGAAGAATTGCATGTTCATAATGTCTACCAGGAGATTGCTGAACACTTCTCCTCCACGAGATATAAGGTCTGTCGATAGTTTCTGTCTTCTCTTTCATGCATGCCTCCTAAGTGTGGTCGTAATACCTGCGGCCCAAGCTTGCTGAAGAAAAATCCGGTTTCTCTGCATAGCCTTGGCCGATTGTCGAGCGGTTTTTAAAGGAACGCCCGCCAGGTTCGATCGGCCTAGACATCGGTTGTGGGAATGGCAAATATTTACCCGTCAATTCTGACATTTTCATTGTTGCGTCAGATCGGTAAGTTGAAAATTTTTGCTAGTACCATTTGCTCCGATAATGCCCCCATCCCTGCCCAAAGAAAAAGCGTAATATTTGGATCCCAAATTTTCTATAAGGATATTACTATCCCTGTCTAAATATGCAAGATTTAGATCTGAAGCCTTGGCGCGGATTGCCAGTGCGCATTATCCACATTCTTCGATTGTCGCTGACAATCTGAATTTACCACATCCGGATGGCATCTTCGATTTCGCCATTTCCATTGCAGTGGTACATCACCTGTCAAACCATGAACGCAGAGTCAGAGCTATTCAGTCTATCCTGCAAACGCTCAAGCCGCCTCACGATGGTTGTGAAGGTGGCAAAGCATTGATCTATGTCTGGGCATTGGAGCAGAAAAACAGTAGGAGGGGATGGGATGCTGGCGATGACCAGGACGTCATGGTACCCTGGGTGAGAAGAGAAAAACATGGTGATGATAAGTCCGGGGCGTCAACAAAGACTTTTCATCGCTACTATCATTTGTATGAATCACAGGAGATAGAACGAGATATCGTTGCCGCTGGTGGTCAAGTCTTGGATCATGGTTATGAAAAAGACAACTGGTGGGCTATTGCAGGCTTAAAGTCAGTGGGTTGAATTGTGATAACGCAAGTATGGCCGCTATATCAAGCATCCGGTATCGTCTCGAATTGAAGCGCTATGAAAACAATTTGGGGGAGAGAGAATAAATTAAATGACATACATCAAAAGCGTCAAGGACAGAAGAGAAGAGTGGAAACGGAGACGGGAAAGTCGTTAGAAGGAGAGGGAAATTGAAAAATGAAGATGAACTATGAGTAGGAAAGCTTAAAAAGAGAATGGTTAAATCTACCTATGCAAAACCCGAAATGACAAAGGAAAGGAAGAAGAGGAAAATTGAAAATAATAGGGAAGAAGAAAATGGAAAATGTGACAGGAAAAACACAGAAAAATATACAAGACTTCGATCTATCCGCCACCAATCCCACGCTATGCAACCATATCCCGATATAACCAATATCACCAACCACTTCGAAAGAACCATATATCATTTCTTAGAGCGAACTCCTGCGCCTGAGCGAGTTCCGGGGTGGCCAACCTTGTGCTCTGAAGGCGACTTTGGAGATTTTGACTTTGAATAAAGCTCACGCGGCTGGCTTGATGCGTACGCGGGAACGCCTGCAGTCAACTCAGCAACAGAAGGAAGCTGCTGACCTGAGCCTCGTATTGCTGAGTCTCGCCTCGGTCTGGATGCTGCTGTGTTTATTCTGCGCACCTTGGGAGGAGGCTCCGTTGTTGGATGAGTAAGTAGAAACGGCAATACACCAGCTCGTCTCGCCATCTCGTGCTCTCCTAGCTGCCAGTGCATAGCTTCAGCTGCTCTCCAAGGAACGAACATTTCTGCTGCTATCTTGGACCACATATCTGCTTTGAATCTGCATGTGTTTTAGGACCGACGAATCAACAATTGCTCTCGTATTAGCACGTCATACTTTAATTACGGGGGCTTACCTTTCGTATAGCCTAGCCAGTTTATTCTTACGGTCCTCATCCCACTCACTCCGTCGTTCAAGGTAATTTTGGTAATGGAGCCGACAGCTAAGGGCGCTTCTGCCAGGTAACTTTTTGCTGATATCCTCCCACTTTAACCCGTTGCCTCGAAGCTCTATTATTAGAGCATCTTCTTCAGCCGACCATTTCGATTGCTTTTTGGCAGGAATTTCAAAGGATGGCGCAGGCTGTAGCCGTTTTGCTGGTCTTGTGGATGATAAGATCTGAGGATCAGGTAACGATGTCACTTCCGCTTCTGTGACTATCCCCGCGCGAGGAGACCTGGAATTTTTTTGCGTCCGGAGTTGTGCGAATGCAGGATCTGTTATCACCTGCCTGGCATTTATATCCTTCTTTTCTTCCTCCTCATCTTGAGACTGCAGAAGCGAGGCGATATCCACCTTTTCTGTGGGGGTTCGTTCACGAATACACAGAGCAACCATATACACCCCAATTAGTTTGAGATGGATTACTGATTCCTCTGTGAATCGCGAGTGAGAAAAAAAAATATATTTGCTAGTTCGATCTAGCCACGGTGCCTATTTGGTGGCGGGGGGAAATGGAGAAGGCAACAAGCACAGCGGAAAGTGGTCGTTAGGAATTGAAAGCAGTTCCCTGAAGGGTAAGGATGATGGAACGGATCAGATCAATTCCAGAATCGTGTTCCTAAGATGGTGGAAAGCACGCGAGCAATGGTTAAATAAATTGGCGAAGTCCCGGTTTAGGTCTATGAGTCGATCAGCCGCCACCGCCCTTACACCATGTGGGTGCAACGGCAATAGGGCGGAAACCAGGATGGAGGAACGGCCAAAGGAAAGAGCCCGCGTCAAGGAAAGGAAAAGGTTCCTCTGCCCCAAAGTGGTACAGTACCGACCTGATCTAGAGAATGTGGGAAATCTCCCTGACAAAAATAAAAAGGGCGAGAGAGAGTCGGTCTAACTAGTTCTGCCTTATTTTCCGCTTCTGAATTTCTCGACCAATGGTTGGGATATCCGGGATGTTACAAAATCACTGGTTACCGTCTTCCTTCGCTCCACCAACGAACTTGCGGACGTCGGTTTCAACCTGTTGTGACGTGCCCTATTGTCGCGTTACGGGTGATTTGGGGAAGATTGGCGGAAGAACAACAGGCGGGCGGCGAAATACAAGGCAGTGTACATACCTCCTCGGGCGCCATTTGTCTCAAGGGACTAAATAGTGAAAGACGAAGGGGATCAAGCCAGGATAAGGACGTAAGCTATCCAGCGCATCGTAAAGCTGGAGGAACTATCCGAAGCAGCTAGATCCATGATGGCATAGTATGATTATTCTCCAGTTATTTTTATTATTTTGGGGGAAAATGGAAAAATAAAAAGGGATACCACAGGTAACTTTTTCTTTTACCCCTTCTGCTTTTTGGTTGGTCCGATTTTCGTACCTGGTCCAGTCCCTTGCACATCATGCAACTCGAAATCCAAACCCTCCCCCCGTCTTCTCACTTTCGTACCGTTTAAACTTTGCTGCCACATACGATGGGCAGTGGTGCAGAAAAGAAAGAAGGATCAATGACAATACAAAATGAAAATAAAATACAAATACAAAAATCCACTGTACTGAACTCTATACAATAGTTCACATGAAAAATTACAAATTGTGGAGCGGGTTTATTGATTCTGGGTGGAACTGTTCGTCTCATGTCCGTTGAACTTATGCCTTTCGTTTCTAATTTTTTCTTTCTCTCTTCCTCTTTTGTGAAAGATTTGTTAGGGGAAATTTTTAAATCCCTGGTGATTTTGGTAATTTATATTCTATTTTGTGAACTGGGTTTGCTATTAGTTCTTCCAACCCTGCCTGAATGGCAGGGGCCGAGGATAGGGCACGACATACCATAAAACTTTAAATGTATCTTAGGGCTGCCAGGCTTTGTCTAACAACTAGTAACAAGCGAGGGCAAAAAATATTACGTTTCTTGCAATCCTAATGGATAGGCAAATACGGAGTAGTTGGGGAGAACCTCGACGGTTAGCGAGGAAATATACCCATCCCTGTGCATATATGTATATATTTATCGAGAAGGCGGAACCGAGAGCAATACTTGAAAGCAACCGACTTGCTATGTGCAAATAGGCCTTGCGGAATTAATAGTCTAGAGCGATGCAATGCCGAATTGAAGGTACAGTGTATGCGTCAGAACACTGATATCAGGAGTTCACTGTTCCAAATCCTCCAGTACCGTATGAAAGACAATACCAGAAATTTAAAAATAAAAAATACAAATAAATAAAAACGGGTAACCGGTAGGGTTATTGTGGTCAGTGCAAACTTCGTCGCCTAAAGAAATCGTTAACCAAGCCACAGAGGGCTGATGACATGCATAATGTTAAGATCCAGCACCAAGTGATCTGACCAATTTGCTTTTTTCCTTTGGTATGTATGCCCCTCCTCCAATTCTACCCGGATCCGCTTCATGAAAGCATTTATGGACACCCTTTTTGTTGGTGGTACTGCTTCAGAAGACACCGGCCTGGAAGTTTTTCTCACTTTCTCTCTTCCTTCTCTCGTGAGCGAAGCGTTGAAGAACCAGTAGTTAAGGAATTTAATTTCCCATCTCACCTCCAAACTTTTATATTGGCAGCCTTTTTTTAGATTCGCCCCAAGTATCTCGGCAAGTTTGCTCTCATCCATGCGGTCATCCACTGCATATACTTGACACACATTAAGTGTCCACAAGATCCGCAAGGGCTAATTATATCTGAAAGGTTGGAATAGTTAATACGCTTTCTGAAGACGATACATGAAGCAAAACGGTCGTGGAACAAGGGTTAACAGCTAGGATGGAAATGTGCAGGCATATCGTCTGGCACTTGATTTCGAGACTCTTTTCATCCCCCCAAACGACGCCATGGGCCGCTCAAAAAGGAAATGGAAGCTTGAATTTGTGAATTCATTCATTCATTTCTTTTGTTGGGCAATAGTAATGGGTGTAGATGGTTCGTCATTACACAAACATGGTCACCAAATTGCCCCATGGTGGAGAACGCAGGAGACACTGTTTTTCCGTCTTTACTGATATTCTGGCCAGGCGACCACAAAAGAAGCTATTCTGATATTCTTAGAAACGTATTTGCCAAGTAAGCGCAGATCGCAGCTAAGATTGGTTCTTCTCTCAGACATCGCAGCTAGGAGAATACGTATATATATATAGATCACCGCCTCTGGAATTGGGCGCGATGCGTGCAAAAAGAGAAGGCCAGTAAGAAACTGGGCAGTATGCAACTTCGTTGTTTCTCTTCTTTTCGTACATAGTTACTCACATATTTTTCTGCAGGAAACCCGACATGGGAAGTGCAAAATCAGGGGAGGCGTTGCGGTGAAAATCTTGCACAATACTATGGCGAACAAGATCGTGGGGAAAGCCGATGGCCATGTTCAACGTCAACTTCTGTTTCAATGGCAGAACTGGGAGATAAGAAGATGTACCAACTATCTTCTCATTCTCTAGCAGCCTTTGTTCTTTTCCGGTTTTCCTTCAAGCCATTTATTTGTTCGCCTCGGAACTTAAAATATAAAATCATAAGATAATTAATTGTAAGTGTGGCTATGCGAATTAGGATATCACCAGCGTTTGTAAATTTTTCCTTGTTCAAGTTTTTATTAGCAGAGATTTCAATATTAAAAAGGGTGCTAAATACAGACGTCAGCAGTAAATCACTCCCATGGTAATGTCCGACATACATGTTGCGGTGTACATAACTTTTGCTTTGAAACAGAGGGAATTGGCCCCCAAATAAGCAGTTGGCACAAGGCCATCCTTATCCGTTTAGCCAATCAACGTATGCCGTAATATATATATGCGGTGAGCAAAGAACGAACAAAATTCCCCGAATGCTCTCCGTGATACGATGTCTCTGTGTTAGGCGATATCCCTGTCGGATATCCATCGTGTGTGCCATCGCACAGTGCAAGGTACTGTGCCACCGCGACTCTTACTAGAATCCTCATATACAAATTGATATTGACACGGGGGAAAAAGGGAGCGCGAGGGATTATGATATGACAAATCAGCGCGGCAATGGGAAATTCGGGATTTTTCGCGACTGATTATCCAAGTTGATAAATATTAAGATCAGCTGGGGAGGTAATGGAGAAATTTTCGCTACGTCAACTCAAAATATGCAGTTCCTTTTAATAGCGAGTTTCACGAGCAGAGGTCATCGAGGTCGCATGGGGCTGGATGATATGATACCTGTGGTAAATTTTCAATTTCAAGTTCTCGCAGATACAGCTAATGTCCAAAAGAGTCGCAAAAAGCAGTGACTCAAGATAGCGCCGAATTGCAAAATTTAATGGACAAGCTTAAAAAAAAAGTAATTCCTAGGAGTTTTGGCGTTCATCAAGCTAGTAACGAACGAATAACTTAACCGCAGCCACAGGAGCACATCGATGATAAAAAAAGAAAAGATAAAAAAAGGACAATGATGGAGAGATTATGCAGCAGGGATTTTGCATGGGAATCCAGTTAATTGTCACGAACTGTGGCGTCTCGTTTGGGTCCTCATCAACAGTCGGGGGAGATGTGGGATTGTTGAACTCTTTTAGATCATACTCCGTATGGGGCAACATGTCACGGATAGTTTGGGATGCTAAACACCAAGGGTTTAAAAAGCTAACACCTGACGAGATTTCAGTGGCACGATAGGAGTCGGGGGCGTTTTTCAGATGGGTTTTCCAATTTTGGCATTGAATTACAGATTGGACGGTGTCCCCGAAAACAAATTGAATGTCGCCCATACTGCCACCGGTTATTCTCCTCTGTCTGGAGGCGGCACAGCAGACTCGCGACCATGTGGCATATCTGTAACCACCAGGTAGCTACCTCGCAAGCAAGATCGGCCAGCTGCTTGAATCTTTGACATGACAGCGATAGCACGCCAGCGAGATCACCTTTGATAGGATAGGTCAGGTCAACCGATGGAGTTACGGCCCAAAAACGCCACCTATATCATTTGTAGTTGTATTCTAACAATTTCCATGAACTCTGGTCTGATAGCCAAGAATTCGACATATTTGCCGGCATAATTTATGTAAAAGTTCAGAACAGATGACCTCAGACACAGAGCGGGTAAGTAAGCAGCGACGTGTGTAGGCATGCAAGGAGATAGTCTGTCGAAAGCGGTGAAGACACCGCTCCATTTATCAACAAAGTGGTCTTCTATCGCCAATATCTCAAGACAGTTCAATCGCCGAGAAATACCTACAGGAAATCATCTTCATGCGCCAATTCCTCCTCCGCCACCTCTGGCTGGAATGACATCAACAACGAACGCATTGAACCGTGGGGAATATACCGCCTGGGTGGTCCGAAGTCTGTTTGCCCAACCCAACTCCACCAGGAAGAGGGGAAACCCCTTGTGCCCAAAATATGTAAGGAGGAACTCCTCCTTCAATCAGCAGCTCTGTTCTCCCTCATTTGCCCCTCATTGCCTCACTATCTCGAGGGATAGCCTGCTGTGAGAATTCGGAAACGTCCGGTCTTGTCAAAAACGAGTGGCGGAAGGGATTGCCTCTTCTAAATCGATCCACACCTCAACCATGATGGATATTTCCGAACAAAACCCCTTGCTAATTTCTTCACGTTGGGCCAAAATCCATCGCTATCTGGGCGCCTTGAAATACCTGCTGGTTGCGGCTGAAGGAAGCCCAGGCGTCGTGGCTGTGTGCGGGTGTTTGGTTCGTCTCAAAAGCAGTTCGTTGATGCAGTTCATGCAAGCTTGCATCATGGACATCCTTCGTTGCCGGCTTGATGCGCAGGTTCTTATTCGTGCTTTTCCCGCACTCGCCCCGGTGATCCTCTTCTCAGATCTCGCCTTACCGCTACTGACTAAGAGCTTAGTACACGATCTCAGGATTACAAATTTGCAAGTTCGAGTCCTTGCATCCCTTTTGTTAAGAGAGGGTTAAAAACAGACAAGAAAAAAGCTTAGTACCTTAGCTAGCGAGAGATCTCTCTTGTCTCAGCAACAATCAATCAGATATCGAGCAGGATTTCCTGCTCCGGGATTTTCCGTTACGATTATTCGTCCACTGGTTCATAGGTCCAATTATCATAGTATGCTATTTCCCCATAACTATTCCTAACAATTTCAGAGTAATGGAAATGTTTCATGTTTCCAACCAATTATTAGTTACCCAGCCATCACAACAACTATCTCTGTCGTCTTGGCGAGGATGAACCATTTAAATTCCATTATTGTTTCCCCCCAAACATTTTATGATCAATATCAAATCCAAGGAATGAAAGACCTGGACTCCTTGAATCGTATGAGCAAACAAAAAATATACAGCATCAACCATTATGGCCTTTAAGAGGGTTTGGTTGTCTTTGTAAACCTCTTTAGCTGAGGCGAACCGGTGTTTCAGGCGCAAGAGAGAGATATACATATTCCTGCCTCCATTGGGCGGATTTCCTCCCACTGATAGCTTGGCTCCATATCCACGGCTCGTTTTAGTTTGAAGTTATTTATGAAAGAGTTATAAAGCTGTATGGCAAAGCGTTTTTTCTGCCCTCCTTTTCGTCGAAATTTACCTAGGCGGTGACCCTAGTGGTGAGGGTAACACAGATCACCAGACACAGACGGAGCTAGGTTTAAATATACGACTAATATTTCTCTTTTAAACATGGTTTGGCAAGCTTTGAATCCACAAGTTGCCGCGCAAGCCATAGTGGTTAAATATTCGGGCAGACATAAGGTCGTATTTCACCAAGCCATTTGATTCCCGACTTCTCCGGATCTATCACGCGGATCGAGGGCGGTAGACGCCCGACATGCCCAATGGAAATAATACCCCCAGCATAGGAAATGTATTCAAAAATGCAATGAGAGGCGGACTGAAGGGGTCTCTGACGAATGGCGCCTGAAAGGATGGAAATGTTTATTAAACTGTGGCATCATTCCGTGTATCCAGTCCTATCGTTCCTTTTGTGGAAGCTCATGTAGAGCACTGACAGAATCATCGAGGATTATCGAAAAAGCCTAACAGACGACTGGAGCACCGACAACGGCTGGCTGATGAGGATTCCATGGGAATTCACTTGGTGGTGAGGCAACATCCTTTGAGCCACGCGGTCATGGTAGTAGAACCCAACACTGCCACAACCATTCTCGAGGCCAATGCCAGGTTGATAATACCGCTGGTGTCAAATGTAGGGATAAAGCAAATTTGGCAAGGAGCTGAAAATGTCAGTGAAAGAAGAACTTAAACAAAAGATACAATTTGCAGCATGTCTTTACCACCGGAAGTACCTAGGGTAATTTTTAACAGTTGCAATCACAAGTTATCGCAGCCCCAGAACGGTAAGATGGCCTCAGGTCTCAAGGCAGGTGAATGAACCCACCTTAGATCCGGGTCCACGTTTCCATCGAGAAAGAGAGTTTCGATACAAGCCTGGGGGGGACGTGGAGCCCCGAGACGTCATCACTCAATGAACGAACCAGTATTTTGGGAATGGAAGAGTGCAGCCATTACGGTTTGCTGACCTGTTTGTGCATCTCAAAACGAGGCTTCTCCCCTGCTGCAGACCAGCCTTGCATGTCTTCTGGGGGGTTGAAAGTAAAAGAGACAATTCATTTGTGACGAAATGAACAAATCACGCAGTTGGTTTCTAGATAGCGCTCTACGAGCATTGAGGGAACGGAGGGGCATCAAACCAAATGCGACAACACCGAAAATATCCATTATTCCACGAACTGCAAAACTTGACACTTTGCCTCCAGAGGGGTGAAGAGGACATGCGGGGAATAACGCTAATTCCCGCACCAGGGAACACCTGTTTTCAGATCTGGAAACATGAACCATGAAGGCTAAAATGATGGATTCCTTAAATGTTGTCATTAGTCCCAATTATGTAGGTGTAAATCCCTTTGGAAATCCACTTCGCCACGGTGTCCATCTGGCAGCTGCTCTCTATAGACCTTTGGCAGATCAGAGATAATTCACCCATCCATTTTGCATATGACAGCAGTTCGCGCCATCCCACCTGCGTAAGGGTCTAGCGTACTTGGAAACAGCCTTGTCAGTTGTCAAAGTGCGTTGATGGTGCCACGCTTTCGGAGCCAGACTCGCAATTCGTCAGGCAACAGGGAATATGAACCAGAGCGGGAGGGGTATGCATCCATTTTGTCCGGAAGATTGGATGGAAGAGCTCGGAAGGGACAAAAAGGGATGTATCTTCTAATCCAGCTCATCATCCAAAACTTCGGCCATTTCAAGATACTGGCAAATCTTGGCCTCTCCCCATTTTTCTTTTGATTTCAAAGAGTTATACATCATTACCGTAGTGAGGCTGCACCAGTCTACTCATGCACATGTACTGTACATGCTACTTGAGAGGCAGCAACATGCTATTTTCTTTTTCTTTTTCTTTGGCGAAGGCGGAAGACCAGGTTTTGGTAAAGAATAAAAACATAAGTTCGAGCCAGCATCTCTAGGCAAAAAGGGAGCGGCATTTTGAACGGTATGTATGAAGGATGTCGAGCGATAGATGCCCAACGAAGCGATGCAAGCTCGGTATAGTACATTTTGTTTGGACCGGATCCACATTCTTGCGCTATTCAATTACCGTGAGGCGGTCTGCTTATGCAGACAACGAACGATGGAAAGAACCAAAAAGGCGGGAGCGGTCAGCACATATTCCCGACGGTGCTGATCATGATTCAACTGTCGAGGCAAGTCTGGGTCTGCAAGGCTTGTTGCATCTTGACCCCTGCGCAAAATAACTTTGTGTGAAAATCAGCGGAATGTTATTACTGTGTGCTGCTGCATGTCTGGTCTCTCTCCTTGGTATTCTTGATGAGTTGGCCTTGAGGGTCTGATATGCTCCAAAGGCGGTGAACAGCTGGACGCCATTGGATCGCCTGAGCCAGAGTAAGGGGAAGTCGAGAACCTTGAGAATCGAAAGAGGCCTGTCACAGAGCTCCCCCATCGTGACCAAGGTTCATCCACACAATAAACAGGTCCTTGATGCCTGAAAGGAATGAATCTTTTTCATCAGGCTCTTTTGCACACCAGAATCCCCGAAAGTTTGAGGGAAAGGCAAGGTCATTGTGCAAGAGGGACCTCCTCACACCAACTGGAAAATATAAATTCCAGATATATGACTGGCTCACAGCATATGCCGGAAGGTACCCATGTAATGATAAGCCCAGTCCCTTCATGTTGTTTGGAGGGAGTGGGAGTCGTCCTTCGAACCCCTTCGAACCCCTCATGATAAGTTTTGAGATTTGTTGCTCGGGCCGCAGCAGCCTGCGGTCATGTGATATTAGGTGCTCTCATTAATATCCATATGGATGGATGGATGGATGGATGAATTTGTGCGAGGCTCACGAGTGGGCATTGCTATTGACTTGGGCAAATATATTGAGATACATAAAGTCAATACGCGGTTTTTGAATATACAAGGGAAACAAATGCGCCCCGATTTGAGTATAAGGTATTCCACAAAAATATGCCTCCTTCCTCCAGCATGCGATCTTAACAACCGGCTGAAACCACCACGCCTACCAAACCGCCAGATATAAATTGCAGCGTCACAAGAGCATAAAGGATATTCTTCATAAAGGATATTCTCAAGGTGCTTTAGAAATGTTATCCCATAAATATTCGCTGAATTAAAATAAAAATGCTGAATAGAACGAGTCAACTCTTGCACCCATAACCATACTCAGGCCAATAGATTGACAACTATAAAAGCGATCATCACCAAAACAGTAGCACTCAACTCTGCTTCGTTCTGGCTCTCTTCGTGCCCTGTGGTGCGTCCGCAGATATTCCAGGATGTACGGAAGCTGGCTCAGTACCATCAATCTCACCCTCCTTGCTCGGGGGAACACATCCCTGGGTAAAGAAGAGCGCAGCAGGTTTGTCATAATCATTAGCGAAGCTGTAATTATTTCCTGTTACCGCTCGCCAAACCACGTCAAATGTTAGTATATAACCATTTACACGATATCAAAATTAGCTAGAAAAAACATCGAAAGGTATGGCGAGAGGAACAGGACGAGAATAAATGCAGTTGGTACTAACCTCGGGGAACTTGAAAAACGCACCCCTTTCCAGCACTGAATTGAAGATCCGATACATTAACGCGTATTCGGCCGTGGTAGACAAAAAACACCATATGCATTTTCTTAGAGTTTTTTGGTCTCTTGACGGCACCAGGAGGCATGTCAACAAACCCAGAACCCAGAAAGACGTTATTGAGTATTTTTGCGAAGCGGAATGTAGAATCTTTCACTTCATGCGTTTCTATTGCAGAAGGAGCAAAGGCAACATCTATCTCCAATGGTCAGAAAACGTTCCCCATTCGATTAAAATTATTCAAACAAAGTAGACAAACCTATCATCTCCTCTTCTTGCGTAGCGCTTTGGGTTACCGGGTCCCACTTCTTCACCGGGCCGTAGAACACTCCTTCTTCCGTTTCCCACGGCTCTACATTATCTATATCTTCATCATCATCAGATGGATCGTCCCTTGATCTTTTTGATCTGGACTTAGATTTAGATTTTTTCTTGGATTTTTTCGTCTTCCTGTCTACCCTGGTATCCTGTTCTTCTGTTCGAATAATTTCTTTGATCGTCGATAACGGAAAACGTTGTCCAACTTCCGCAGCCCCATCTCCATACACACACCGTTCGTTGCGCCAATACGCAAGTGGACGCACTGATACTCGGCCAGAACGAGTGTGCCTTGCAGATTCATCTGAAGGGGTTTCTCTTTTGAGAATATATAAACTTCGGTTTTTCAAGGGTCCACTTCGCTTTGTGATGTTTTCCACTACTGAATTTAGTTCTTGCTCTTGCTCGACGGACATATGGAGGTTGGATCGCCATTTTGAACCACCTGTTTTCGCTCTCTTCGGTGCTCTCGAACTTTCCGCTTCCTCGTCGACATCATGATATATATCTGTAGTTACGGCTTTTGGCTTTCTTCCTCGTTGTTTTTGTGCAGACTTAGCTGGCGCATCAGTGACTTTGTCTGAATTTACCTCACGTTCTTGTTTTTTTCGGATTGGGCCCTTTGGTTTGGAAGGCACGTTCCTGCGCTTCGCCCCTGCCGTTTTCGCAACTATTGAGGGTGAGGGTTCACTTTCTACATCATCTGGCTTATCTGGGTCTTCATCTGGTAAGTCATTCTCATGATTGTCGCCATCATTTTGATTATAACCTTTTGGCGAGCCGCCATCTGCATTATCGAAGTCTTCGTGATAATCTCCGTACGACTCTACAAAGTGCGTATCCTCCCCTCCATCATCCGAGAAGTCCGCAGGTTCACTGACTTCCAGGGACGCCTGGGGAGAAGATCTGGCTAAGCGTGGCGCATGAGAAAAGTCGAGAGCCCTTCTAGCTGCTGGGCGCGCAGAAGTAGGACTGGATGATTGTCCATGATGCGCAACAGAAGACGAACGGATCCCTGGAGTTCTTCGAGGGGAACCGGACATGTGTGTTTTCATCGGGGAGCGCGATCGAGGGAGTAAAAGTAAGGGGTTTCGTTGTCCGCGTCGGCCTGAAAGTACGTCAGTTGGCTCCGGGATGCTACCTAGAGGGGAAATGAGTATAGGAGATCCCATTTTGGGTAACAAGTATTATTGGCCCCATGTGATGACAGTGGAGAAACGTACTGTCTCCGGTTTCCATATCCTCCGAATTCAACGTATCGTTTCCATAGCCATGGCCATTAACCTTAACAGGAGATTTCTCTGGTGATGAGAAAATCCCCTCAATCTCTTCCATGCCATGTTCATCAAGTTTCCCTTCCCTTAGAGTAATGCCCGTACGTCTAATGAAAAAGAATAAACTTGGTGAGTATTTTCGAGATTTGCGAGCATTCATCAATTGGAAAAAAAGTTTTGATCTAGTGAATACAAGTACGTACCTACCAGCCTTACCCACATTGGAGTAGTCGAAATCGCGACTTTTTGTAGGTCCTCGGGGTGGCATCCTAGCAGAGTTGTTGATGATTTGTTGATAGTTAAGGATCGGGAGAATCGGGAGAACATGCTATGTCCGCATCAGGTGGCAATGATACGAGAAGTAGCCGGTATCCAGCCGATAATGAAAAAGAAACGCGCCCGCGATATAAGTATATCCTCCCCGATATCGTTGATTTGAGTGCTGATCGGTTTTGCGGGTATACCGTGTGAGGGGAGTCGGAATGGCACAATGAAGACAACGCGAGGGATCTACACTAAACCCGGTCTGGTGCAACGCGTGTTAGCTACCGCTAGGCATCACGAAAGAGTCAAATATATAGTATTGCT